CAAGCGCTTGAAGCTGAAACAACCGCTACTTATCGGAGCTAACAACAGTAATGAATTAAGTGTCATCCCTAACCAGAAGTGGCTACATTTATCCTCATTTTCGCCCACAGTCACCGCAGCTGAAATTATCAGTTATGTTGCTAAACATGCTTGTGTAGACGCTAAATTTCTTACTTGCTATATGTTAGTAAAGAAGGGAGCCAACTTGAATGATCTCAAAAAAGTAAGCTTCAAACTAGGCGTTTCTGAGTGCAGCTATGAGAAAGTGATAAATAATGAAAATATATGGCCTGCAAATGTTAAAATACGACCCTTTCGCTTTTTTCAAAAAGTCGATGCACCAGAACTCAAGTAGCGCAATATTTAATGAGACGGTTGGGAGCGCTTCCAATTTGAAATTGTACTTCCAAAACGCTTCTGGCATTCGTACTAAATCTGAATTAGTTCGCAATTTTAGTTCTCAGCTCGACTATGACGTTTTTGTTATTGTTGAGACGTGGTTGAATTCAGTTTTTAATGATAATGAATTTTTTGACGCTAACCTTTATAATGTCTACCGAAAGGATAGAGACGCTGCGAAAACTGGATGTTTAAGAGGAGGAGGTGTCTTAATTCCTGTTCGTCGCAATCTGTATTCGTATTTAGTTGCGCTTGATAATGATAATTCGCTTCTTGATCAGATCTGTGTATGTGTCACTGGCTCGTCGTTCAACGATTCCTTGTTCATCATGGCTTCCTACATTCCACCAAATAGTAAGGATGACCTTTATCATGCGCATGCTGATAATATCAACTCTCTAGTTTTGAACAAACTTGGCGACAGTCACTTATGTGTTTTAGGTGACTTTAATTTATGCAATGTGCGTTGGTCGGACACTTTTTCGAACTTCGGGCTCACTCCTAACAATATAACTGCCCCGCATGAGTCATACCTCATCGATAGTCTTTTAAGTCTAAATCTTAATCAAATTAATAAGTATGTTAACAAGTTAGATAGAATTCTAGATCTAATCTTTGTAAGCGACAATATAATCTGCAATATTGAGAAATGTTATTGTCCTATGTCTCAGTCGGACATGCATCATCTGCCACTAATACTGAAATTTGAATTGTACAAATTTTTAAAATCTGCTCCTGTTAAGCAAGTTATCTTCAATTACAAGTCTTGTGATTTCGGCAAGCTAAATAACTCGCTTTCCATGCTCAATTGGGATGAATTACTTTCAGGACAGGATGTTTCTAATTGCTATTATTCTTTTAAAACAGCGTTAGTTGATTTATGTAGGGAAAATGTGCCTATTTTGAAAAATAAACCACATAAGCTACCATGGTATAATCGGGAGTTAAAAAAGTTAAAGAACCCTAGGAATAAATTCTTCAAGAAGTTTAAAGTTACAGGAAATCAGATTTTCTTTGATAAATATCAGAAATATGCTAAAGATTTTAATTGCTTAGACAAATTCCTTTATAAAAACTATATTTTGGGGGTGGAGTTGAACATTAAATCTAGTCCAAAAGCTTTTTGGCAGTTCATAAAGTCTAAGAAATGTGGCTCTTGCATTCCTTCGACTGTCTTTTTGGACGATAAATGTGCTAGTGGCCCTACTGAGGTGGCGAGTCTCTTCGCTGAATTTTTTAGTGCCAACTATGTCTGTGATGATGGTAATTCCTGGCCTGATATAAACCACGATTCAGCTACGGAGTTCAGTTTTGGGACTCTAACTCTGTCCCTTGATGACGTGGAAGCTGGCATTTCTAAGCTGAAACCGTCTACGAAAGCGGATGTTGATGGGTTTTCTGCTCTTCTCCTCAAGAACTGTCCCGCTCTAATTCTACCTCCACATCGTATTTTTAATTTGTCTCTTGCGTCGGGTGTCTTTATCGAGGATTGGAAAATTACTTCTATTAACCCTATACTTAAGAGTTTACGAGCAATTACAGGCCCATTTCTAAACTATCAACTGTATCGAAACTTTTTGAATCTATAGTCAAAGAAAAAATGTATTTTATCACTAAAAGTTTAATCCTGCCTAACCAACATGGTTTTGTTTCCAATCGATCTACTGTGTCTAACCTAGCTGTATTTTGTGAATACTGTATGACGTCTCTTTCTGCAGGTTTCCAGGTTGACTGTATTTATACGGACTTTAGTAAAGCCTTTGATAGAGTCTCTCATTCGATTTTACTTAATAAGTTAGCATATCTTGGCTTCCATTCTGTTTTTTTGAAGTGGATTAAATCCTACTTGATCAACAGGCGCTGTGTTGTCTCGATAGATGACATTTCGTCAGATGCATTCCTTGCCTCCTCTGGGGTACCCCAGGGAAGTATTTTAGGTCCTTTACTTTTTATATTATTCATAAATGACATTAGCTCATGTTTTTCATTCGCAAATTTTTTGCTATATGCCGATGACCTGAAAGTATTTTCAATGATCAGAAACGAAAGGGATGCTACTTTGCTTCAGGCCGACATTAATAATCTCAATCTTTGGTGCATAAAATCACGCCTCTCTTTAAATATTAAAAAGTGCTTTAAAGTAACTTTTGCAAAAATTCATAGTCCTTTATCAACGAGTTATACAATCGCGGAGTCTTCGGTAGACTCTGTTGCCGAGGCCAAAGATCTTGGCGTCATTTTTACTTCAAATTTTTCTTTTAGTTGGCATATTAATCTTGTGATTTCTAAATCCTTCTCTGTTTTGGGTTTCGTGAGGCGGAACTGTGTAAAATTCTCTGATCCCTATACTATTAAATTACTATACTCATCTTTTGTTCGTCCCATTTTGGAATATGCTACATATATTTGGAGGCCATTCCACAAAACTTTTATAAATAGGTTAGAACGTGTCCAAAAGGTGTTTCTTAAGTTCGCATTGCGGTCCTTAAACTTTTCGGATCCTATACCACCGTACAGTAGTCGTTTGTTTTGCTTAACCTTAAGTCATTGGAAACGAGGCGTTCTGTACTTTCCCTGACTTTTGTTTTTAATATTATTAATGGTAGTGTTGATTGTCCTTTTCGCTTAGGTCGCATAAATTTCAACATCCCTCAGCGAGTCTTGCGTAACATTTTGCCGTTCTATTGTGAAATCCATAGAACTGAATACGCGCGCAATGCCCCCTTGGTACGTACCTTAAATGAGCTTAATTTGATCTCGAATTCTATCTCACTTGATTTCTCTTACTCAAGAAATTTATTTATTAATCTTTTGTATTCTTTCTTTTGAATCTTGTATCCAGTTTAATCAATAGTTTTAGTGTCCTGCATATATTAATTTTGTAACTAGTCTGTAAGAAA